TGGAACTTGGTGGATTAATTAAAGCAGAGAAGCTTGAAGAGTTTGTTGTTGTCGGAGGACATGCCCGACGACATCGAAAGTCTCCAGTTGAGGAACCATTAGGTGGAACTATTCGGGTGAACCAAAGTTCATATTGTTGGAATCATTCTGGCTATCTTTGGAGGCGATGGAGAGTCATCCTGTTAGTCTAGCCAGAAGAGGCATCGATCATGAAAGGTATTTTCTGTTGCCTCTTATAAGCGTAACCATCACCCATCGTTTTCACAGATGCAAATCTTTCGCCAAATGGTAACTCGTATAACGATACGATTCTCATTGTTGTATTAATCGACCACTATCAAATGGATAGTATCCTAGTTGACATTGGAAGTTCAATGAACATCCTCTTCAAAATAGTGTTCGACAAGATAGAGCTCAAAATCGACCTGTAGATAGCACTGATCGGTCCATTGTTTGGTTTGTCTGGCGAGATGAAGGAGGCTTTGGGTGTTATTGCCCTAGGTGTCTCTTGAAGAGAGTAAGAGAAGAAATTCACTTTCATGGAGGCCTTTCTGGTGGTGGAGTTTCCATCAACTTATAATGCTATTTTCAACTGATCATTGCCCTGGAGGGAGCTTCAACCTATCATGTGGCTGTGAAGTTTCCCGATGATGGAAAGATTATCACGATTGAAGGGAACCTAGAGCAGTCAAGGAGTTGCTACGTTCGAGCGGTCACCAAAGTTGAACACGTGTCGCTCAACATTTAAATTTAAATAGTAGTGGGTCTCGAGAACAACTAGATCATCCTCGAAGTACCACCCGCGTTTGACGACGAAGAGCATGATAAGGTTTTTATAATAATTAAAAGTTTTGATGCGGGGTGGTAGAAAGATCTGTTGATCCAGATCCTTTGTGGGCATCAAGAAGTTTTCACTTAGACAGCGGCGTAGATGCTTGGAATTTTAGTTGATGTTGCTTGCGATTGATTGAACATCAACACGATATCTAAACTGATGCAGCAGAAGATCCGATCGACCGCTAGAGCTTTGGCTGAGCCAATAGCGGCGGAGGTGCAAAGCTAAAAGAGGTTGGCTATATCTGAGAGGTCCAATATCCGGCCTGGCTCTCAAATGTAGTGATGGTCTGGAAGGGTAACAACAAATGGGGAATGTGCTTTGGCTTCATGAACCTTAATGCTGCCTGTCTAAAGGCTACTTACCCATTGCCTAAGATCAACAGTCAGCATTCATGGTACTCTCTAACTAGTTATCTCACATAATAATTTTTTTTGGAAGTCATAACTTATCTTCATTTTAATGGCAAACATAGTCTTTTAATTTCTCTGTTATATTTACAATTTTTCTTTTTCATTTCTAATTTTAATTGTTAACTGATGAAAAGTTAAAATTTATACATTAAACTCTAAAACTGAAATTGAATCACTTTGTTCGTTGTCAGACTATTCTAATCATGTGATTAAAGTTTAATGTTATTTCATCATTTTAAACATCAACTGATTTCGAATGCTGGTATTGTTTGCATATATTTACATTTAACGAAATAAATTATTTGATTAATTAAAAAATAGTAAATTTTGAATTTTTAAAGTTCTTTTGAGTAAATTTTAATACACCTCATAATGGTTGCTTAATGAGATTCTAATTGGCAGTCATCCTTCATCAAAAATTGAATGTGCTTCTTAACTAAGAGTATCTAATTATATGTGTATAGGGCTGTCAAAACGGCTCGTTGTTCGCGAACAGCTCGTGTTTGCCTCGTTCGCTAAATTAACGAGCCGAACACGAATAACACGAACAAATATTTGTTCGTTCATGTTCGGCTCGTTTTGGCTCGAAATATTACCAATCAATTATATATATATATATATATAGTATTTTTAAAAAAAATTTAATTGACTACAAGGCTACAAAGATTTATAATCAATTAAAAGTATTAATTAAGAAAATAGAATAAAAAATATTAAATTAAATTCAAATGATGTTTTAAACCTTGCCCCAATCCTAAACATCATATGACTACGTGATTAGGGTTGTCAAAACGACTCTTTGTTAGTGAATGGCTCGTGTTTGGCTCGTTTACACCCCTATATGTGTATACACAATTTAATGTGTTATATATAAAATTGATTATGTAATTTTAGGAAAATTTGCTTACATACCTCTCAATTCCCACGTATTTACGTATTGGAGACCTAAACTTTAATGTTTGCATGCATAACTGAAAAGGTGCGTTTCATTTTTTATTTAACATTTAAAAAGTTTGTATTTTTTATGTGATATGAAAAAAAAAATGGGAGGAATAAATGCAAAAACTAAAACGTTGGTGTTATATGTATAAATGTATAAGAATTGACTGGCGCGTACTTAAATGCCCCTGAATTTTATGAGAAACATTTGCGTAAATAAGATTTACGCAGAGCTGTGTGAGCAAGTAGGTTACAGGAAGGGTATCAAGAGTTATATTTGCGTTATACTCCTATAATCTACTTGTAACTTACAGATATATGAAAACAGAAGGACAGAATTTACTAGTTACATGTAGATTACAAGTGGATTATATGGAGGTTATAGGGAGTATAACACAGATATAACCACCAATATCTTCTCTGTAAGCTACCAGACATACACAATTACACGTACATCTTACGTACGCAAATATTTCTCGAATTTTATAGTATAATTTTGAATTTTCTTCACATATAGAATTAGGATTCAGGGGACGCATTTTATTCATGATATTTATTGAGTTCTCGCAAGTTGAATTAAAATATATTTAGGAAGATTTACATACAGGCCACTTAATTCCTATGTATTTAGATATGTAACATCTAAACAGTAATTTGTAGGCGCATGCCCTCATGAGGGCTAAAGTTTGTTATATTAATTTATATAGTAAATTATTTTATTTTCTGAGCTTTTATGTAAGAAATTGGTTTTAACATGATTCTAACAAGAGCCAAACAAATTGAATCAAGTTTTATGTGCATATTGTATAATTATTAATGTCATATTGAAGATCAAGTCCTACACAAGAACATATAAAAGTTTAGATATTTGATTAGATATGTAAATACGTAAAAGTTGTGTGGGGTGCATGTAAGTGCTCCAAGAAAATGTCATATTTTAATTTTGAGGCATTTACCTAGATAGGGCTCAATTCTTATTGATTTACCCATCTCACACCAAACTTTTACTTTTACACCCATAGGGCCCGATCCTTTCATATCAAATTAAAAATAGTACTAATTATACTTTTTAATGATCAACTTCACCCTTTTCATGTATAAATAAATTGATATACATGTAAATATGAAAACTTAGGTGTGAAACACGTAAATTCATAAGAATTGAATGCTAATTACGTAAATTTCTCTTTTTAATTTTTTCACTTTAACTCTTGGCATCACCCCTGACCCTTTTTGGAGTTTATCAGTGATGTGTAGGTTGACCCGTTGAAAGTCTATGCCCCTTTCCTCTTCTTTCGTTCAAAACCCCCACAGACTCTCAAGTCCTTGCAACAACCTTGGAGCTCTCGTATATAACTGATGGTTGTGGAGTTGAAGACCAAGTACAACCAGAATAAGAACAATTAGAATGACCTTTGCTCTTCTCTTTAATGCTAGGTTAAAGATGTATTTTCTTATATTTTTTGCCCTTCTATTTTCTATACATTGGAGTGCTCTAAGAGGTATGGGGGGAGCTTTCCTACTCTTTGTAACATATTTTCTTTATGAATAAAATAGGTTATTGGCCCCGAGAACACACCATTTTCTCTTGACGAGGGAAGTCTTACCCCTCTCCTCCCCTCTCTCTCTCTCTCTCTCTCTCCCAATCTTCTTCCTCGTCTAGCACTCTATTCCTTAAGCACGATCTACCTTGCATTTATTAAAACAATTGAAATGGGTACAAGTCACAGAGAATGCAAAATAATAATTTGAACACTATTTGTACTTGAACTATGATCAAATATTGATCAATCATAATATTATTAAACATTCATCGAATAATATTTAGTATTGGTCTAAACTTATTCATATATTTATCACATTACTTTCAAGGTACGAGCGAACACATCTATGATCATAATTCGGGTCTTATTAGACAATACAATGAAGATTCCAATAATTTTGAACTATTTTATTATTAGGTTAATTAGGTGTTGATCACAATTATAATAGGTTTGATTATTGTTTAATGCTAATAAGATTATGCCTAATGTTATTCTGGATTTAGGGTTTTGAGCCCATTGTATAACATTGATGGAGACAATACCTTTTGCTAAATTTACAACATCATTAGCTTTTAATGATTGGACAAAAAAAAAAAAAAACAACAACAAAATTTACGTTGAAAATTTGCTGCAAAACTTATTATATAATTTTGCTAAACTTTTAACATCATTTTTACCATATTTTAAAGTTATAAGGTGTATTTCTCTAAGTGAAAGTTATAGGTATATTTGTCATTTCCAAAATCACGGGGTGCATAAAGTAAAACTTACATTAAGAAAATATAAAATTTTGATGTGCATATTATATTATTTATATGTAATGAAATATCTAACATCTAAATTTTTATATTTATATTTATGACATTTTGATGTCAAAATTTTATGCATGAAAATGTGCATTTTATTATAAAATAAAAATGATAATGATATCTTTAGTCATATAAAAGTTTGAGTCTTAGATAAAAAAATATAAAATTTTAGATAATATAGACATGTAAATACTCAAAAGTTGTGTGGAAAAATGTCACATTTTGATTTTGAGGCATTTACACTCAATTCTTATAGATTTGTGTATCCCACACACTATATTTTTACTTTTACACCCATAGCATCCAACCATTTTATATCACATTAAAAATAGTACTAATTATACTTGTTAATGATCAACTTCACTTTTGAATTTATAAAAGAAATGTTATACATGTAAATATGAAAACTTTAATGTGAAATATGTAAATTCATAAAAATGGAATGCTACTCCCCTGACCATTTTAGCAGTTTATCGGTGCTGTGCCCCTTTCCTCTTTTTCTGTTCACCCAGACTCTCTACTCGCAGCGACAACCCTGGAGCTCTCCTATATCGCTAATGGCAACGGAGTCGAAGACCAAGTACGATCGCCAGCTTAGGTATCGTATCCCTCTGCAAGGTTTCAGCTTTCGTCGCAATCTCCTGGCATTCTACTATCGCCATTTTCTGTTTTGTTTCCTAAAAGTTTAGGTTTTTATGTTGCGAAATCTATCATTTTAGGTTTCATTTTCACCAACCCTTAACCTTATCTTCGAAGTAAATGTAGACATAGGATGGATATTGCAGGATTTGGGGCGAACAAGGGCAAGCAGCGCTTGAGAAAGCCAGCATATGCCTTCTTAACTGCGGCCCTACTGGATCCGAGGCATTGAAAAATCTCGTTCTTGGTGGGGTTGGCAGCATCACTGTTATTGATGGCAGCAAAGTGGAAATACATGATCTTGGAAATAACTTCATGTGTATGTTTTTCTTTTAGAGTTATGCGATTGCATTATAGTTAGAATTCTCTAATTGATGTTTATTTTTTTTTCATTCAGTGGATGAAGCAAGCCTCGGTCAGTCTAAGGCGAAGTGTGTGTGTGCCTTTCTGCAAGAGTTGAATGATGCTGTTAAAGCCAAATTTGTGGAGGAGTCTAGTGAAGCTCTCATAGAAGGAAATCCTTCCTTCTTTTCCTCGTTTACCTTAGTAATAGCGACTCAGGTATGTTGTATAGCTGTTTCCGTTGCCTTCATATTGAATTTGGTTTTTTTTTTTAGTTTCTTTTTCTTATTTATCTTTTTTTTAATTTAAGTTAGCACACTAATTCCTATACTTGTTTTTGAGATCTAACATGGTTCATTTTCATGATCATTGCTTTAAAATGCGAAAACATGAAGCAATATGTTTGATGTCTTTAAAGCACAAAGTATAAAACTCGACTTTTTAATTTCATATGTAAAAAAAGTATTAAAATATACTATGATGATATGAATTAAAGAAGTATTAATAAGAATGTCCTATTTAACAAAGTATAAGTTTTATAATTTCAGTAAGTGTCATTAATGCAAAACATCAAAACATAATTACATTAAAATGAAGTTAGATATATAGTATATATTGATCTTGAAATAATATTATCATGATGAACTAGTATTATAAGGCAAACCCATAATGAACATAAGTCATGAATATATAATGTATGATGTTAAGTTAAAATTAAAAAGTATCAAATGATAGGTGTAGTTCTCTATTCAAATAAAGAACATCAATAAAAAAAATAGGTGTTGCACTTTGGAAGAATGGGGAAGAGAATAGAGCAAATTATCCAAAATAAAATAAATAACTTTGTGGCAATGTGTATGTTTGATGGGAAAAGAAAGTATGGTTGGGATGTGGCGATAGACAAGATATGTCTTTTTTGAATTACGAACTTTTTTTTTTTGAATTATCAATTTTCAACTATTTCACAGTTCATGTCTTTTTTGAGTTTCAATACCTTAATAATCAAATCAGCTAGTTCTAAGCTCAAACCTGTGGCGTAACAGCTATCGGAAACGTCATTATTAAAGCTGGATAAGATTTGTAGACAATATAATGTCATTATGTTGGGTGCACGCTCGTACGGACTCACCGGGTTAGTTCGGATTTGTTTGAAGGTATGGATATACACATCAATGAAATGAAACTTTATGCGAGAGATTTTACCATTTTTCTAGTGAGTAAAAGCGAGTAGAATCTGATTTCACATCTATGCCATCCATAGGAACATGATGTTGTTGAGTCAAAACCTGAACATTTTGTGGATGATCTAAGACTGCACAATCCTTGGCCTGACCTGAAAGAGTAAGCGGCAAGTACCTTGATGTAACTTCATCACAGCTTTAATCCCAGTTTTCTAATTAAATATATCTTACTTTATACTAATAGAGTGAGACAGTACCTTATATTAAGTAGAATTTTGTTGCTTAATTAAATATGCTTTGCAAACGTTTGATTTACAGAATCTCTGTGTTTCTTTTTTGTTTCTCCCTTGATTTTTTAGCTTATCAATAGGTTTGCAAAATCAATGGACTTAAATGTGATTGATCCTGTCGTACACAAGCATATACCTTACATAGTTATCCTTATTCATATTGCGGAAAAATGGGCTGACGGACACGACGGATGTTTACCAACTACTCGACAAGAAAAAAAGGAGTTTAAGGTATAGAACTAAAAATCATTTTTTTGTGGGGTTCTTTTTCATTGTTTAGCTCCTATAACAGCCCATCCTTATGTTTTTTTCTTCACAGGATTTAATAAAATCTTACATGCTTAATATGGATGAAGAAAATTACAAAGAAGCTATTGAATCATCTTACAAAGTTTCCCTTCCTCGTGGAATTAGTAAGCTAGTTGTATTTCTTTTGAAAATTTGCTTGTATAGCTGCGGTATGGACAAGACTATATGAGTACCTTTGTATTTATTGAAAAATGCCACCTTTGTTTTGATGCAGTTCTTGCACAAATTATTGAGTTTGTTTATAACTTTGATGCTTAGGGTTTCTTAATTTAAGGAATTAAATTTAATTTCCCTTGAAGCTTCTACATATTAGGTTGATGACCAAATAAGGGAAAAAAAGAGAGAAAATGGCAGTCACTATCTCTAGGAACCTTTTAGTAGGTTTAAAACACTCTTTATGTGGCAATGTCTATATATGTAGAAAGTGATCAATTGTAGTAGGTCTATAACTAGAAAATTTCTGATCAGCAAATGTTAATTCAATTTTCTTAACTTCTTTTTGTCCACTATTATTGTTACTTTTATTTAGTAAATGATAAGATTGAGGTGTATATTTCTATTTGTTGTCTTTGAGGAACGGGAGTGTTATTTCCTTTTTTTGTTTTTTCAACTTGATTGATTCCTAATTACTTGGTGATGTATGTCTTGCATCAGGTTCTCAATTGAATCAGATCATAAATGACAATGCTGCTGAAGTTAATTCAGCCTCAACAGACTTCTGGATCTTGGTTGCAGCTTTAAAGGTGCATTGTATCTTTTTAAAAGTATTTGTTGTCATTTGAGATAGATGTTTTTGTGCGAGAAAAGTGTTAAAATGATCCCTTGACTTTTTGTAGAGGTTCATTTTAAACCAATGGTTTATAAAAATATCAATTTATTCCCTCCACACACTTTTAATATGGGTTAAAATAATCCCCAATGAGGACTATTTTGCCTCTCAATAAAAGAGTCTGACGACTAATTTAATATGCTTATAAACTTGTTGAAAAAATCATGACATGAATCATTTTGATCATTGTGTAAGTGCTAGGGCGTCCCCTGGAAGCGACGCGCTGTATAGTCTGAATACAGTGAAAAGTGTGCAAGGGCCGCTACACCGGCGCCCGGGTGTAGTGTTAAATAAGCAAGGGTTCCCACATTACGGGCGAATGTGGGTAAAGAAGTTAGTCCATGAAACTAATGAAACTAATATTAGGATAGGATCTTGGAATATATGCACTCTCAATGATAAATTAATGGAATTAGTTGATATTATGATTCATAGGAAAATTAATATCTTATGTATTCAAGAAACTAAGTGAGTTGGAGAAAAGGCTAAGGAGATTGATAATTTAGGTTTTAAACTTTGGTATTCTGGTAAGAGTCGCACTAGAAATGGTGTAGGTGTAATTATAGATAAGAGTTTGAAAGATATTGTTGTTAAAATTAATAGAGTTGGTGATAGAATTATAGCCCTTAAGATTATCATTGATACTAAAATTTTTAATATTATAAGTGTTTATGTTCCTCAAGTAGGTTTAGATACAGAGTCTAAAGATAAATTTTGGAATGACTTAGAAGATTTAATACAAATGATACCTCTTGAAGAAAGAATTTTTATTGGAGGAGATTTAAATGGACATGT